ATTGACAGTTTTGGTTGCTGTATTTTTACTCTATTTTATGAGTACAGTACACAGAATTTTAAGGATTCTACTGACAGGCAGTTGAAATCCCTTTCTTAAATCTCACTTTTCTTTGAAAGGCTCTGCCCCTCGTCTTGTACTGGCTGTAGCCCTAGTCTGTGGTAAAATGTATTTGATCCATCAAAAAGGATCATTTCACCCTTTTCAATTGAGTGTGTGTCATAGATGTCTGGAGCCTTACGCTTCAGCTGTGATGGCTTATTAAAATCATGAAAACGTATGCCTCAAAAGGTCTGCTGTCCATTCAGATGCACAAAGCTCTCTGATTAAGATGTTGAATGCCGATACCACATCCAAAGAGCATCTGATTCCATCCGCTTTGATCACTATTTTTAAACGCAAATATGTTTGGCAGCTCAGTTTTGCCCTGAGCGTGCGCTATTTTCCTGACTGCAAGTGTTTTGCGACAGTTCACAACTGTTTACATCTGCGCTTCTGCTGCGCTGTCTGAAACTGGCGCATCACCTAATGAAACAATCGCAACTTAAGAAGTCCCCGTGACCACTTCTTCTATAAGCGACCGTTAAAGGAGAATTAGTGGGTGAGTGAAAAACACTCATCCCCATAATTCAGCTTCATTGTCACAGGTCAGCTCCATTGATCGAGAAGTGAACGAACACATGCCGCCGATCGCTGACTTCCCGATCATCTCCCTGCAGAGAGTGTTGACTTTCAGTCACCTCTGCCCGCTGTGATTTCCCCCTCCCCTCTCCGATCCTCCAGCGCTGACTGGAGTTTTTAGTGTGGACAGGTCTCCTGGGTGAGATGCCATTGGACATCAGTTTTGTAATGCTGTACCTTTCCCGCTAAGAAAAAATGGGAGCTATTTTACATTTGTTTTTGTAGAAAGTGAATGCTTCTATGAAAAAATATATGTTGCTTACTTAGATGCAGGGATGTCTTGTCACATGTCTGGTTTACCATAATAAATATTTCAAGCACTGTACCTTGTACCCTAGCAGTTGGCTGCAGTCAACACCTTGTTTTTATTGCCAATTAGGTAAACATTTCAGCATGTCATTAATGAAAACCAACAGATAAGGACCGAGAGTGCACATACATTATATTACCAAAAGTATTGGGATGCCTGCCTTTACACGCACATGAACTTTAATGGCATCCCAGTCTTAGTCCGTAGGGGGTCAATATTGAGTTGGCCCATCCTTTGCAGCTAAAACAATATAGTGTAGGTGTAAAGAGCAAATCTTATAGTAATTTAGAGAACAATAACATTTTGTGTCCATTCAGATAAAAATGCCAACTGATTTATTTAACCCCTTCATGACTGAGCTAGTTTTCAGTTTCTGTTCATAAATGACTGACACATTTTTTACATTTTTGCTGTGTGATTCTTCCACAGCAGTAATATACTTTCTTACTAAATGTACCCACACATATTATATATAGTTTTTTAGAGGACAGATAGGGCTATATAATTATAGGTTATCCCGGTGGAGGATTCGCCGTCCTTTAAGGATCATTCTGATTGGAAGGCTGAGGCGCTTTTGCGGTCCCTGTACTCTGTCTCGGGCGCTCTCGTATGTCCGGTCTTGGCTTCGGCCTTGGTTTCTCGGACTCTAACCGAGTGGGCAAAAATGTTACATCGGGGTCTTGCGGAGGAGAACGTCTCCCCCGCCTTTGTGGAATTGGCGGACCAGTTGGTGCAGGGCCTGCGAGATTACATTCAACTTCCCAAAGGTTTTAGGGCTGTGCTACAGCACTGACTGTTACGTCCACACAAGTGCTCCTGGTCTTTTCAGCTATCATTGTGGCATTAGTTTAACGTATAGAAATTGAATTGAACCATTAGGGATAGGCACCACACCCCCAATTTAAAATGTATACAAGAAAGATAAAGAAAAACGGGGCTTTAAAAGTGTCCAGACCATACGAAATGTCCATCAAACATACATGGTTTTGTATAAAAATATACTTTATTACATAGAGACAGCTTAAAAACTTGGCTACATTTAAAATGTCATTCACATGATACAATGCTACATTAAAAAACAAGCTACCTCCTTTTGGTGCCCATACATGTGTACATATATTTATTTATATATCATAGACTCCTTGCAAGTCCTAAATCCTGTAACAATTGTATGATCCACTGTGGGCCCAATCTGGATCATACAATTGTTACAGGATTACATGTTTGATGGACATTTCGTATGGTCTGGACACTTTTAAAGCCCCGCTTTTCTTTATCTTTCTTGTATATCATTGTGGCAGGCTTAAAAAAGAACTCCAGGATTTGTTAAAAGTAACCCTTGCAGTGGGGCAACCCTCTGGACTGCAAGAGTGAAGTGTTTGATTTTGTCTAGGAGCAATAAATGAAGAAGATACTCTCACCTGAATCTTGGTCCTGCGGCAGTGACTGCTCACCTCTCCCCCCTTCGCTTTGGTTGTGGTATGTCCCTTGATGCCCTCACATCTAATGAACCTGCATTACACATAATGACATCACGAGTCCTTAGACCACTAGAGCCCGGCAGGAAAATAGGCTACGGGAACCGGTCTAGCAGTCAGACAGGATTGAGGATCAGGTGAGTATATCTTCTTACTTTTTGTCACTAGACTAAAATCAGCACTTAACACTTGCAGTGCGTGGGTACTAACTGTCATCTCCTTACTACTCTTAAATATAGCAGTTATTATCCCTTTTACCCTGTTTTGGGATTGTGAGATTTATGAGAACTCCAAAATTAATTTCCCCTTTGTACTGTATCTCAGTACTAATTTCCTTCTCATCTTGATTTTACAGTTCCCATGTTCAGTTCCTGGTTCTGGATAGGGTGAGAATTATCCCCCTTTTCCATTTTCTTGGGCCTGGTTCCATGGAACAGACAGCTCCTCAAGTTCCAGATCATCTCCAGACCAGATCAGATTGTTTCCGATATCAAAATGCATCCTAATGTATCACTATGCTATTTCTGGCCTCTGTTCACGCCAGCGCAGTCTGTTCCAGACCAGACCAGAAAAATACTGCATGTCTCATTTTATCTGGTCTGGAACTGCTGCAGGTTCACACCATTTTCCGCACCAGATACGGAAAATGCTGCTGCATACAATACACTCTTTTCTGGAGAAAATGGAATTTACCACCTGTCACTGACTGATGTCTGCCTCCTTTGCTGGCAGTGTAGGCAGTCTCTTAGGGGCCACAATATTTTCACTTTGCCTTCCTCACAAGGAAATAACGTCTGTTCTTCCCTGGATGAGCGTGAGGCACAGAGCTCTGTGCTGAAAACTGTAAGTCCAGAGGTCCCTATGGGACCTACTTATTGGAAGGAAGATCCCCCTTCACCCCTCTCTATTTTAACTGATTATTTAATAAATATATGTATATAGATTTACACTGGTTGTATTGTGACTACAGACTGCTGTTTTAACTTTTTGTTGTGAGTTGGGATTTTTCCCCTCTCATCCCTTTTATATAGAGTTGTCAACCTCTTCGCTCTTTTCCTAAAATGGACATTATACTCTAGCCGCCTTTGTTTCACATTGACTGTTTCTATCCCTCTAGCTTACTATGGCAGGGCTTTTTATTATAAATCTTCCTACTCCTGAGGTCAAGGGCTAGTAATCCTAGGCTTCAGCCTTTACAAACAATTTTGTATTATTGACCACCTTAGATGTTGGTCTGTTTTCACTAGGAATGCACCAATATTGGTTTTTCGGTATCAAGTACCAGTACAGATATTTATATTTCAGTATCTGCCGATACCAAGTACCGCTTCCGGTAGCATAGTGTCGGCTTCCTGGGCAATCGGGAAGCTGGACAGCGTGTCAATACACGCCACCCAGCTTCTTGATTGCCCGGGAAGCCAGCTCCATGTTGGTTGGCCAGGAAGCCGGCATCCCAGCCAATTAGCATGGAGCCAGGTTTGCGGCAAATCAGGAAGCTGGAAGGCTGGTCAATACCAACTGCCCGGCTTCTTGATTTGGTGGGGAAGCTGACTCAGTGCTGTTTTGCCAGCTCGATGCTGATTAGCAAGGAAGCCGGCATCCCAGCCAATCAGAATGGAGCAGGCTTCCTGGCCAATCAGGGAGACAGGCCGTAACCTGCTGCCTGGCTTTCTGATTGGCCGGGAAGCCAGCTTAATTCTGTTTGGCCAACTCAATGTTGAGTAGCCAGGAAGCCGGCTTCCGGCCAATCGGCATCGAGCTGGCCATACAGCATAGAGCCGATTTCCCGGACAAACACGAATCCGGGCCGCGAGTCATCACTGGCAGGGAAGCCGTCTCCATGCTCCCTCGCGGCACTGCTGGTCAGGAAATCTCCCTCTGACTGGAAGTTCTGGTATCGGAGGTAAGTATCGTAGCATTTATAACAAGTACGAGTACTCGCTCAAATACTGGGTATATGCACCGATACCGATACTAGTATTGGTATCGGTGCATCCCCAGTTTTCACCCACTGTTTTTTTTTCTTATGCTGGTTGTTTGGTTGTCCTCCACATTCTTGTTGAGGTATTTGATTGTTTCATATAGCAATTTCCACTTCGTTGATTTGCCTTCCCTGCTTTGGACAACCAACTTCTCTTTTGGTTCCTTTCCTTGTTAGCATCTGTTTTCATATTTGATTCCTCTATTTGTCACCTAGCCCTGTTCAGACATTAACTTCTTCAGTGCTTGTTACCCACCCCTCAATTTGTATTTGTAGGTACTTTTTTTACCTTTGATTCCTTACTTCCTTCTGACTTTAAAATACAAGCTTGAGTGTACATACCCTAAAAACATAAATATTTTCAATGTCTACGAATACTTTATATTTCCTTCTTAGATGCCAACTGCATATTAAAAATGACAAGTAATACAAGATGCAAATAACTACGTTACGTGGCTCGTTTCCATTGTATGTATTAGTGCCCTCAGATTTAAAAAATAAACATCTAAGCATGTTTACCATACGAAGGGATCTTAAATCATGACCTTACCTTACTTCTAGGTCGTTTAATCCACACAAATCCCTCATAATATAAAGGTAGTGATGTGAGCATAGTTCTTTGTTGGGATATCCTTCTAGGTGCTGGTTCGATTGTTGCCATAATCACTTTTTGTTTAATCCACGTATCACTGCAGCTTGTATCCCTCTTTGTGAATAAAAGTACAATATGCTGTCTGTAGAAGGAAGTCAGGACATAAAAAAAAATGTGCAGATTGTTTGTGCTGTTGTCCAGCCCAACCCACCTCTGCAGGGAGGAGGAGAGAAAGGTGTCACAGCAAAGCCAGTTCGATGTCCAAATTCCATCAGTCATTAGAAAAATGCAGATTTTGCTGCTTCCAAGAATAGAACACCCTCCAGGAAAAAGTAACCATTGCAGTGTATAGATACTTTTTTACAGTAAAATATGTTCTTAATACTTAATGATTGTCATTTTATTAGTTAGTTTGCTGTGAAAATCTATAGTCGATTTCTATATATAATAATGAACAAAACAATTAGCCAACAGCCACAAGATGCACAATATGGAAGTTAAAAGGTGACAAAGAATAACTAAACTTTACAGGTTACAGTCCTATTGTACATATGCAAATAAAACTCAATATTTTTAGTTCCCCATGGTCCCTGTGTGTGTTGTAAAGTAGTCACAGCTCCAAGCTTGCTCCTGTGATGGACTACAATCTTAATACAAATTAGTAAACTAAATGTGAGATTGCTATCCATCAAGGGAGTGAGCATGGTGCGGTGGCTACTTTACAACACACACAGGGACCATGAGGAACAAATGTAGCCACCTTCCAGAAGGAAGGACAGAGTGCCAGCATGAATTCAGAGATGATTTGAAGATCTACAGCTGAGTGATACACAAATAAGATACATGTTTGGTAATAGCTAAGGTACATGAATGCATTTTTAAGATCTAACTCCTGAGTTTAGTGTCAACATTTGCTGTGCAGTGCTGTTGCTGCATATTTGACAGGTATTGGCTCGTATGTATGCTAGTTTTGTGAAATGTGACCTATTAGTTCTAAAATAATATGTAGACAGTAGCACTTCTCTAAAAGCTAACACATCCAATAGGCCTGGAGTTTTGTTGCAGTCAGCATTCAGAAATACACTTACTTTAAATTCTAGAATTTTAACTTTCGCAAAGTTGGATTGAAATTTTCCAAAACGTATAAAAACAACCAAATGTGGCAACATTGCCACAATAATAACAAATAAGAAAATGGTCCTTGCAGAAAATATCACAGAATACAAAATACTGCTAAGAACAAAAACAAACACATTTCAAGTTATCGAACAACATTCAAAAAGTGTGCAGAGATTCCAATGGGAAGGATGCCAAGGCATAAAGGACCCAGAGGAAAGAGAAGTAAGGAAAAAAAGAAGGGGGAGGAACAAATGGAGAATCACCTACTATAGGGTATCAAACACTCCAGTATATTGCAACCAGGGAGACCAAACAGCCTCAAACTCCTCCAGTTTATCCTGAGGGCCGGTTCACACCAAGCGCGTTCCTTGGAGCAGAGCAGTTACAGACCGGATCAAAACTGCGTCCAATGTATTCCAATGGTATTTTGGGCTCTAGTTCACACCGCAGTGTTCAGTTCCAGAGCATGTAAAAAAACTGCAGCAAAACTGCAGTGGCCCCCGTCATGTGATCGGCCCGGCTAGATGTAAGGAGCGCCTGGATTGGAGGCTGAACCGCGGCGTGTGCAGCGTGCGCGTTCGGTGGCCGTGGCGTGTGAGGCTTGTGTGTGGAGCCGCGAACAGGCAATGTAATAGATAGCTGACTAATCGACGATTGAAAACGTTGACAACATTTTCGATCGTCGATTTTAATCGACTAAAGTGAATCATTGTTGTAGCTCTAATCATAATCCATGAGAGTTTAGATCAAACATAATGAAACGGCACAGAAGGTTATTTCCAGGCCCTTGCTATAGAAATCTTGGCTGCAAGTAGAAGGACAGAGAGTAATTTGTCCTGTGTCCTAGAGACAGCTGGGTTGAATGTACTTTTTAAAAGAATACATCCAACAAAACGTTTGGATGCAGTCAGTGCAGCAAATGTGCTGCCTGGTAATTGCTGTATTGTATAGTGTGAAGCAGCCTAATGGACTGATATTGTGTTACAAATGTTAGTATTACTGTTGGCTGTAATTTTTTATTTTTTTAGTCACATGGGGGAATTGTATGGGAAAAAAGTGATTCAAAGTGGTAACACTGGTTTGCATAGTTGCCTAGAGATGTAATGTTGTACTGAAACCTGTTCACAGTGACACACCAAAAATGTAGATGACTAGGTGAAAGTTTATTTCTAGTATTGGAACATACATAGGTAACCATGGACTAGAGATGCACCGATACTAGTATCGGTATCGGTGCCAATGGCAAGTATTTGGGCGAGTACTTGTACTCGGGCCAAATGCTCCGATACTTGAGCTTCCAGTATCAGGAAGCTGGGCAGCAAGTCATTACACGCTGCCCGGCTTCCTGATTGGCCGTGAAGCCGGGCCCATGCTCCCTCGTCACTTGTGACGAGGGAGCATGGAGTCGGTTTCCTGGCCAATCAGGAAGCCGGGCAGCTTGCCATTACACCGAGCAGCCTGCCAGGAAGCCGGGCAGCGTGCCATTACACAAACCCATGCTTTCTGATTGGCCAGAAAGCCGGCTCCTTGCTTTATCGTCACCTGTTGACGAGGGAGCATGGAGACGGCTTCCCTGCTAATTAGGTGGCGAGCCTTTTCACGCCGCCTGGCTAATCAGGAAGCCAAGTGGCGAGTCATTACACGCCGCCTGGCTTCGTTAATGGGACTTCCGGTAGCGGTATTCGGTATTCAGTAATAAATGCGTACTATTGCATTTGACTTCCGTCTGCGCCCTGGTTGTCCAGCAATCAGCATTGGAAAACTGCCGGCTATTACGAGCAACAACATGCACCTTTAGGGGTTGCTCAGCCCCCCTACACGCTATTTATGTCTTCAACAGCATCAGGGCACAGAGGAAGGAAGCATGTTCAAGCAGTTTCCTGTCATGCTGTGCAAGCTGTCAGTTTTCCAAATCTGATTGCTGGACAATCAGAGTTTCAGATATAAGTCAAACATGGTGCAAAGCATTTATCAAGGTACAAGGTACATTTATCAAGGTACATGACTGTTTAGTGTTCTTTGAGTAATTCTAGGGTCAACTTCCACTTTAGGATCCCAGCTGTGGTGTGTGTATATGTATCAGGAAAGTTTGAAGGAGAATGTACAGAGATACAAGAAACATCCGGACCGGGGTGTCCGACCGATGGGTGAATCAAACAAAAAAGGGAGGGGAGAAGCGCTACAAACCAAGCGAAGGGGGGCGGTTTTTTAGAAAGGAAGGCTCGAATAGGGACCAGTTTTAGTTCGAGGGTCCGAGTGATACGTTCAGTGGTTGATCCGATTCGTCCCAGAAAACATAAATGTATGATACGGAGATGAGGATGTTGTGTAAAGCAAATCAAATATGTATCAGCATGCTTAGTATTGTTTAGTTTGTTTTTAAATGGTCACTAGACTCATGAGTCTTTTTGCCTTGTGCAATTGCCCTAGGGCCTTGATTGCTTTTTTTACTTTATAGCTTAACATTCCTGGCAAATTCAATTTAACCTTTACTGTGACCTTTAGTTCTAAATCAAAGACTACTGTTTTTAATGGTTTAAACCTTGTACATTGACTTCTTTTCTGCTGTAGCCATTATGTCTATATCTGACTTGATGGTGGACACTTGATATGACCTGCCAGGTACACAGAGACACACTCTGTCCCTTTTACATAAATGGCTTCTTTCACACCTCTTTTAAACCAGTTCTTCTCCCTTTCTAGGATGCGTTCTTGACTGTCTTCAAAGGAGTGACCTTTTTCCTTTAGATGTAGGTATACTTCTGAATCCTGACCAGAGGGTTTGGCTCTTCTATGCTGTGCCATACGCTGGTGTAGCTGCTGTTTTGTTTCACCGACATACAATTCTGAGCACTCCTCACTGCACTAGACTGCAAACACAATGTTGTTCATCTTGTGTTTTGGCTTTGGGTCTTTTGGGTGAACCAGTTGTTGCCTGGGTTGTATTGCTGGGTTTAAAGCAGACAGGGATGTGATTTTTTTTAAAAACCCTTCTGAGTTTCTTGGACACCCCAGCTACATATTGGATGACCAAATTCTTCTGTTTGTCATGCTTTTCAACCTAACTGGTACTCTTGCCATTCTTTCCTCTTCTTTCTGTTTTGACAAAAGCCCAGTCTGGATACTCACAAGTTTTAAGGCCCCCCCTGAGGTGTTTAAACTCCTTCGTCTTGGCTTCTGTTCTGGTGGGAATTTTCTTTGCCCGCTGGTGTAGAGGGTGGTGGGAGTCAAATAGAGGTGGGGGTGAGACATCTATTGTCCTGCCACATACAATGCTGTTTTAACACCTCTCTCTGGGCAGGTTAGTAACACCTCCTAGACTCCAATTATGCAAATGCAATCAACACCTAGTTGCAACTAACAGATTACTGTATTTTTCGCTCCATAAGACGCACTTTTGCCTGCGTCGAGAGGGAGATATGGGGCTGGACAGGCACTGCCAAGGACAGTTACAGCCAGGTCCCCAGCAGGTGAGGGACCTCAGCAACCGATCCATAAAAAAAAATAAAGGGCCAGTAGCGGCCTTTAGTATCAGGGCATTCTCAAGAGTAAAAGTACTCCTGAAAATGCCCAGTATCAGTCCTGATACTGATACTAGTATCGGTATCGGGACATTCCGAGTTTTTAGTCATATTCAGTGTTTGTTCTAGCTAACTCAGTAGATTGTTTAAAAAAGGGCAGGATGTGTTTCTAAATGTGCAGAATATAGCAAGTTATTAATATCTGTAAGAAACAACACCATAGATTGTTAGTCCAAGAAAAACCCTGTTGCAGCAAATCGAGCCATGCTTTATAATGGTTTTTGTCCTTCTCTAGATTAGCTGTGGTCTCAAGTGCTGTCCATGAGGGTTGTTAGATTATACATTTTTATCTGTTGATTGAACTCAATGGACTTGTCTATTTTTCAATTTAAGCAGAAAAAACTATGTAACCATTAAAACGGTAGTGCATCTGCCTTGCAGTTAATAGGTTTGATTAGCCATAACCTTATGGATTGATCTTTCCTTTGCTGTGATGGTCAATATAACACAGCTTTCTATCAGTCTTA